AGGAAGAACCAAGCTGATCACGTCGTCCTGTCTGCGACGTTAAAGAATTCTTGAGGAGTTACGGGGGATCTCCTTAAATGCCTCCTGATCAGCTCTTGGTTCTGTAGTGGGTTAGTAGTGGCCATAGTTGACAGGGTCTTATCCTGTGGTCCTTAGGAAGTTAGTCAGTAGGTTAGTGTGTCCGGGTAGGGTTACGTGGTGAGGAGTGGGACCCTTGTCGTGCACCAACACCACGATGGACGACTACSCGATGTATGGGTTGCTGGTTGGGTTCTCCCTCTGGGGGACCCTCTGGCGTCTCCTCTTTCCTCTGGGATTTTGGCATACCTTTGCGTGTAGAGTAGGGCCCACTCGAGGTGGTACCGCCACCCAACCATACACGAAGGAGGAGGAGGAGAAGATGGCCGCCATCCTGCAGGAGAGGAAGGAGAAGGAGGCCAAGAAGAAGGCCTTGAAAGAGGAACAGGCGGCCAAACTAAAGAAGATGGAAGAAGAGATGGCCAGGGAGAAAGAGAGGCTGATAAAGGAAGAAGAGGAGAAGTTGAAGGAGGTGGATGAAGAGGAGGAGGGACCGCCACTACAAAGGAGTGGGCAGCACAGTGGCGGCAAGGACGCAGAGATGGAGAAACATATTTCGGAGTGGGCCGCCAACTTATCGTTGGGTGAAGAGGAAGAGGTCGCGATGTACATCCCTAAGGATGAGCAGGAAGCCGCTATGAAAAAATGGGAAGCAGAAGGGGATGTTTTGGCGCGGCGGGTGATGGAGGATGAACAGAGGATGGCGTGGAAGCTCGCAGTGATGAGGGAGAAGAAGAGAAGAGTGGAGGCGGCGAATGCGGCAATGCAGGAACTAGAGGAGGTGAGGGCTGCCGTAACAACACAATTGATTCCGCAAGTGGATCTCCAACGTAAAGTGGAGATCATCGCCCAGAGCGTTGAGCGGTTAGCTAAAGTGCAAGAAAGGCACTTTGAGTTTAGTCGCAGCCAGGAGATATCTGAACGCTCGATGCGAACGGGCTTACGGGACTTTGCTCGCGAGTTAGTAGGCGCTGTGGGGTCCGAGGTGACTCACCGCCTCGAGAAGACTGAGCGTTTTTGTGTCGGCGCCATTGAGGGCGTCAAGGTGGCCGCTCCCAAGGAGGAGGAGACTCGTCCTCGCAGGGAGCCGGTCAAAGTCAAATTCCTTGATTCCTACAGTGGGAAAAGGGAAGAGAACTTTGACAATTGGGAGGCCAATGTTAAGACTTATGTGCATCTGCAACAGGTATCCCCAGATCAGCAGGTCCTAATTGCGATCCACGCGCTTAGAGATGAGGCCGCCAGCTTTGCAAGGTCCCAAGTTCGCGCTGCCAACTGTAGTGACGACCCGGTAGCGTACTCCTCGTTCACGTCCCTCACCGAATTCTTGAAGTTRTTACRCGAGCRATTYGCTGATRTTGCCCGTAGTGTCAAAGCCTCAGATAGGCTTCAGACAATACACTCGCGCCAATGGAAGAGTGCAAGGGCACTCAAGGGCACAATGGATGAGTTAGTGGTTGTTCCTGACCATAAGGTCACAGCTACCCAGTTGGTCAACCTCTTCTACCGGGCCATGCCCGAAGCGCTGCGTGGTCACTTCTTTGACAAGAGTCGGGACCCTGCTATGACTTATGATATACTTCGCAGGGAAATGGTCGCGTTCGAGGCGAAGTCTGCGTCGATTTCCACCTTCTGGCACAAAGATTTAGACAAAGGCAAAAAGTGGAAAGGCCGCACTATCTCAGGGCAGGTCAAGACTAAGGATAGCCTTGTGCTCACTTTAGATGAAGGTAGTGTGGATGAAATCCCCTACGATCAGATTGAGTGGGGGTTAGAGGAGGAGGACAACGGTGCGGGCCAGGGGAGATCCTACGTTGTTGTCGCGGCTGGAGGGAGGCCGCAAGGAGGAAGAGGTCAGGGCCAAGGGGGCCGGGCCTCAAGGAGCCGGTTTCAGGGCGATCAGGGGGTTGGCGGCAGAGGAGGAAACCGCCAAGCGGGAGGAAGGGGTCAAGGTCCCCCGCAAAACCGTCCTAGGAATAGGTCTCCCTACAGGGTAGGAGGATGGCACTCAGGGCTACCACAGGGTAGGCCTTGGGAATCTTTGGGTCTGGACCAGTCTTTATGGCAACAACGATTGGACCGGGGCCAGTGCATTTTCTGCGGTGACCCGGGCCACATCATCAAATATTGTCCTAAGTACAGAGAGACCCGAACGGCTGCCCAAGGGCCAAAAGGCAGCCGCCGGTAGGGGTAGCAACTGCCCCTACCGTTAGGTCATGTGGGGAACATAGCGCTAGCCGGCAGGAGACTCCCACACCACATGTGCCTATGGCAGAGGTCGCAGGCCGGTGTCTAGATAGCTGT